GATACCTGAAGTCATTGCGACAAAGCATGAGGGACAGCGGGTGGCTAATTTGCCCCAGAATCAAGGCATATCTCAATGCGCCAAACGGTCATACCGCAGGGCATTCGCCCGAGCATGCAGGGCAGGAGGAGCATACTATCGGGGCGTATGGCGTTCACATCAGTGGTTCAGGCCGGTTCAAATACAGACCAACTCGTTGAGCAGGACTCGTCGACAACCGCCGGAGCTCAAGACCTTGCGCATCCTGAGTTGGAACAGTGGAGGCCTACATGCACAAGTATTCCGTGAACTTGAGACATACTCCAAGGATGCCATGTTGGACATAGTCTGCATTCAGGAAACACGCTGGAACTACGATGCAAACTGGACAGGGCCAGATTTCCATTTTGTGCATTCTGCAGGCAAATCCAAAGAAGACGTCCATGGCGGTGTGCTCATTATGATCTCCAAGAAGGTCGCAGCCACAGCCGAGCTTCAGTTCAATATCGTCCATCCCGGACGTTTGCTACATGTTCGTATCAACAAGGCGTGCTCCATAGATGTTCTTAATCTGTATCAGTACACGGCCAATGACAACAAACTGACTCCAGAGCGCAGGCAAAAGTTCCTGAAGAAGCTCCACTCCACCCTCCGCGGCATCCCCTCCAGGCACTCAGTCCTCATAGCAGGGGATGTGAACTCTACATGTACAACACAGGATAATGTATGCGGCAAGTGGGTTCTACCTTCACCAGCTCGACAGCAGGACAATGAGGACTTGATGGCCATACTCTCCACATATGCATTGACAGCACTGAATACCTGGCACAGGCCTACGCATGGACAGCTCGCGACTTTCACCTTTGGCGAGTCGGCCTCCCAAATCGACTACATCTTTTGCAGGCAATGTCATGCTAGGAATCGTGCCAAACATGCTGAGGTGCTACCACAGTTCCCTGTGGCATGCTGGAGAGACGGGGCAAAGCATCATCCGGTGCTCGCCCAGATCTCAGTCCCATTCAACAAATGGCAACCCCCTCCTACCAAGCCTAAAGTTGATGTCAACGACCTCATCTCTGACCTGAGGGCACCTCAAGAGGCACCACGACTACAAGCCCTGCGACAGGAGGTGCGACAGGGAATCCACGCACAACAGTGGCCGGATATGGATGCCCTGGAGGAAGGGATCCTGAACATTGCCAGCCAGCACTACCCCCAAGCACGACGACCGGATGTCAACACCGAGGCCACCCAACAGCTGGCCAACAGCGCTAGACACATGTGGGCTCTCTTTCGTGACATGCGCTCTCAAGCATTCACCGCAGCAGGAGTCTTCAATGCGTGGCGACAATGGGCGCGGTTCACACAGGCTCACAAGGTGCACAAAAGCCGATCTCGAGCCAAAAGCAAAGCATGGCGACAGGATTTGCTACTGCAAGCGCAGCAGGCTGCTAACAGCGGCAACATGCACCAGGTCTGGACGGTGGTTAAAGCCCTGGCACCCAAAACCAAGCGCAAGACCCTGCAATTGTACAGGAATGGACACATTATGGCACCCGAGGCAGAATTAAACTGGATTATCTCTGAGTTTGGAGATAGATATGGGGCGAGACAAGCACCCCAGGCAGCAGGCAAGCCCAGAGAACAACATCCGGTCCAGATCTCAGCCAGCGCCTTGCAATTTGAACTCGATCACCTACCAGTTCGCAAGGCGGTACCTTCCGATGCAGCTCCTTCGGCTGTGTGGAAAGCATGCTCCTTGGAGGTGGCTGACTTTATCACAAGCCAGATAAATCAACGATGGCGACAGGAAACGCTTGCTGTACCGCAACGATGGGCTGACGCCTCAGTTGCATTGCTGCCCAAGCCGAAGAATAAGAATGATGCACCTTTGGATTGGAGGCCAATTGGCCTTCAGCATCCGGTTGGAAAAAGTATCATGCGACTGGTTATCGCGAAGGCAAAGGACCACATTCATCAACTGGTCCAGGAATGGCCCCAATGTGCATATGTCCCACACAGGAGCACAACTACGGCCCTCAAACGGGTCTATCGGCACTGCTCTTCTGTCCGGGCCGCCAGTTCTCAGCATCGCTTAAACATCCACCAAAAGAAAGAACAACTGGAGGAGATCCCGAACTCAGGGGGACTACAAGTCTCCATGGACTTGTCAGCGGCGTTCGACCTTGCACCCTGGAGTGCCATCAAGGAGGCGATGGAGCTAGCACAAGTGGAACCATCAATTCAAGAGCTTCTATTGCAGTGGCTCGGGCAGGTCAGATACCGATTTCAACACCGGGGACTGGAGAAAGAGATTTGGCCCTCTTGGGGCCTCCGACAAGGCTGCATCGGCAGCCCAGTCCTGTGGGCAGCCTTCACTGCGTTGCTCAGCCGAGCCATCGATGCGAAAATACAGGCGACCCGCCCAACCCTCCGAATCGGAAGCTCACAAGACAAGTGGTGCGCTGAGCATGCCACATTGTATGCTGACGACTCACACCTGCAATGGGAGTTTCGTTCCTATGAACAATTCGAACGATCCATAGCCGAGCTTAGGATGGTGTTTGCCGTGTTCAGGCGGATGGGCATGAAGGTCAACAACAGCAAGACACAGGCGATCATGAGCCTCACCGGGCCCATGAAGCACAAAATCCAGGCCAAATATGTTCGCAAGCCAGGCAATGAACGACACCTTCTGTTATCAGCAGGTGACCCTACGACATGGATCATGCTGGTGGACAAAGCGGAGTACTTAGGCATGATCATCTCATATGATAGCTTTGAGTCGCAAGCAGTACAGCACAGACTTTCCAAGGCTCACCAACGACGATGGGCTATGGCATCCATACTGCATACCAGGCACATGTCGGTCGCCTACAAGCTTAACCTATGGAAAAGCTGCGTGTTGTCCACCATGATGTACGCCATGCATTGTCTCTGTCTCAGATCCAGCCACGTCCGGATGCTGCAAAAGGCGATCATGAAGCATGTCAGGGCCATTGTCTCAGATCAGGCTTTTCTTACTGGAACTACACATGAGGACATCATGATGCAGTACAAGATTGAGTCAGCCCTGCAGCTCCTGAACAAAGCCCATGGTCGGGAACTTGGTAATCAGAATCCGGATGATTGGATGCTGGCACCGGACTGGGATGAGGCCATCTCCACCTCGCTAAACTTAGCGGCCGCGGATGACGGGCCGAGTTCTGATGCTGAACAAGAGATTTGGGCATGTCCAGTATGTGATGAGCAGTTTGTTAATCCTGCCGCTTTGAAGATACATGCCAGAAGAAAACATCACATTACTGAGCAGGCCGTTGATGTCTTTGATAAGAGTCTGCACGCCATTGGCGGGATGCCTCAGTGTGCAGGGTGTCGCAAGAAGTTTAGCAGGTGGCAAACATTACGGAACCACATCAACAACCACTCTTGCCCTGGAGACACCTCCACTACTGCACCTGCACCCAGGCAATCCAGGACTCAGGTGCCATCAGAAGCTGATCGGACAAACTCAGACTCAACAGCCACCCCTGCGAAACTTGATACGGGGACACATCAACCATGCACGAGTACCCTGACGGATGATCAGTGTGCTTCCAGTGCCCTTGCGTCGGCAAAGATGGCAGTACATGACAGCGTGCAGTCGGATGGCTATCATGTTTTCCATGCTCCCGCTCCTGAACATCAAACCATTCCTTTGATACCGCAAACTACGGTTCAGTGCTTGCTTGAGAAGGGTCTGAATGCTTTCATTGGGCAGAAGCAACTTACAGACAACATGTTGCAGAGCTGTGTTGTGTGCGGACAGTGGATTGCTTCCCAGAAGGTTATGAAGAGACATTATCAATACTCACACCCCACTCTGTATTCACAATTACAGAAGCCCACTCGGAGCATTATCAGCCAGCGAGCCACACCTTGCAGCAAGTGCCACTTCTGCGGCAGGACTCACAAGGACTGGCGGGCACACCTTTATAAGTGTACTACGCTATGGCAGTGTGCTTTCATGTGTGCACATCACCAGGCAAATGTACCAGGAAGACGAGGAGATGGATGCGTTCTTCGGGTCAGTCCACGAGAGGGGAGGACTTCATCCTCTGGGCACGGAGAACTTGAGGAGTCCACCGAGCCCGTTCTCAACCCTAGTTCAAGCCCCAAACAAGAGACCTCGGCATCCCAACGAAGATCAGCGACAGCCACCTCGCTACACTCCGTTCCACTCACAGCGCCACCCGGACAGAGATCCCTTGGTGTTTTCTTTGGCAAAGCAGGTGCTAAAGCAACAGGAAGAACTTCGAATTCTTCGTCAGGACACGGCGTTCGTGCTCTTCCTGAAGCCAGGTCAAGACTCGATCATGCACCACCTCTTTCAGGCTGCAACGGCGTTTCGGGCCAAGCAGGAGGCGGAGCCACAGTGGCAAATGGGGCAAATGCCGCTGCGTATGGTGTTGGCCATTGCTCTTTTCAGGGAGATTACGGATCGCCTCAACGGCACACTCGCGAGCCAGGAGAAACTGAAGAGGGTGACAGACCAGGGCTGGCGGGACGACAAGGGCTGGCGGTTTCAGGTTTGGAACAAAACCTTAAAGCATCTGGAGGTGGACAAAACCCGAGCACCCATCCCGGACGACAAGATTTTGGACCACCTTGCCACAATCCTCCAGTGCCTTCGCCACCCCATTGTGACCAGGTTCTGTTGCACCAGGAAGGTGACCGAGACGATGAGCTCCGCTGCCACGTACAAGATGGATCTTTCGTTGAGGAGTCACAGTGCAGTAACCATGTGGGATACCATCAAGATGCTTCAGGGCAATGCGGTGTTTCAACTGGTGGGAATGGCCTACAAGACCGACAGTCTCGCCAGAAGCCCAGCAGAACAGCGGATTATGGACATGCTTTATGGCCGCCGGGGCTGAACAAGGCCACACATGTGATTTTACAAAACAGTGGATCCCAGTGCTACATGAATGCTTCTGTGCAGGCTGTTCTTTGGCTTTTGGAGACAATGGATGTCCCCATGGGCTCTTTGCAGGGTGAGGCAGCTCAGATCTTTATCGATGTTCTTTCCCAGCCTCCGGTACAGCCACTTCTTTTGATTCAGGACAGCAGATGGGCTTCTATACTGGAAGGCTGGGGAGAGGCTCATCGGCAACATGACGTTTGTGAATTCATGGCACATATGCTATGTAAAACCGACTTTGGCATTTTCGCAGGATCATGGCAAGCAAGACAGCCTGCTATGACTGGGGTGTCAAGACATCTTGATGAAGGCCTATGCATTCATCCACTTGTGCTGCATTTGCCCTCTACCAGACGGGGCGTCCGTCATGCGTTGAGGATTCAATCAATGATTGATGATTGGCACCGTGGACTGGACAGAATCCATGGCTTATCAGTTGCTCCCCCAGTCATCTACTTGCAGCTGCACAGATTTCAGAGGCTTAAAGGACAAGTGGTCAAATCACACGTGAAGGTGCAGATTGACTCCAACATCAAGATGCCGTTTTTCAGGGGACCAAGGCACCATGTTATGCATTATGAGTACGAGTTGAGGGCCTTCATTGAGCATCATGGAGAAACGCCCCACTCTGGCCACTACACTGCATGTCTCGTGCAGGATGGCTATTGGGGATGTGACGATGGCCGTGCAGCTAAGTGGCGTAGGGACATTAGTCAACTTCAAGGTCGAAGCTGCTGTGTGCTCTTCTATACTTTAAAAGATGCCTCAACAGACGCCACAAGGCTTGACCGTAGCGCATTGGGCGGCGTGCATGCTTAAGGCTCTTCGGAGCGGTGCATGTCGTTGCCAACTCTCTCGAGGTGACAAAAACTGTCATGAGCCCCAGGGCTCCGGACATTAAAATGCTTGCTCTTACTCGACGCTTGGCGGATCTCTTCGCTGCGTAGAAAGCTCAAAGCTTCTACTACTCCTACTTTTTTGCTTTGCTTTGCATGCACAACCGTTCACGAGCGACCTATGTGTGAAGCCGGCGATGCTTTCTGCATCGGCTCCTCCAGGGAGCGCACTTGGCCCGAAATAACGACAAGAACTTGAAAAACTCACAATAATACATGCAAGATCTTTCAAAGATCAATCGCCCGGAACATTAGGAAATGTCATAGCATGCCGTGCCGTCAGCACCAAGCGCATGCTCGAAATCGAGAGCGGACCCACAGCTCCAAGCCTCACGACTCGAAACGCAACCAATAGTGAATGGAAGAAACGTTTTCGCACCTGTACAAGAAGGCTACTTCAGGCTTCTCACCATTGATTTGCCGAAAACATTCATGGGTTGCCCCAACTTAGGGCACCAAGTGAAATGGGATGCCATCTGTCACAATCTGGCCAAATGCGTCTGTTTCGTACTGCTAACGACAGTGCAGAGTTGCCGAAAGCAGATCAATTCTCGTCGGAGGGCACTCGTCCTTGCAAAATCAAGAAGAAGTACTGAAAACTACAAAGCGACTTTTCTACGGAAAAACAAGCTGCAACCAAAAGACCAAGTCCGTAAGAATTTTTTGACCACCCACCCGTTCGGCATATTTTTTTTTTCGGTATTTGAGAGGCTGGAGGCTGGTCTCACCGGGGCTGGGCCCCAGACCTTCGGGCGAAGGGGGGCTTAAGGGGGGCTTCAAGGGGGGCTTAAGGGGGGCTTCAAGGGGGGGCTTAAGGGTCACCC